CAAGTCCGTGAACCTTAAGGGCTCATTTGTGAGGGCCCTCAAGGACTCCTCCTCCGCTTTGTCGGAGGTCGTGGAGGGCCTAGTGGGCGATGTGTCGCGCCTGCAGCTGGCCAACGAGAGGCTGACGGAGCGGGTGAACGACCTGAGCGCTCAGTTCGCCCGCTTCCAGGCGAACCTCCCCGAGCGGGAAGCCCCGTCCGCGTCCCAGCCTGCCCCTACCACCAACTCAGGGGCATTTGACTCCCAACTGCGTGAAATCCTCATCGCAGTTGGGAATATGCTGGACGGACGCCTGGCTGGCCTGGAGGCGACTCGGTCGGAGACTGCCCCCTGCGCCGGTTGTGCGCCCCCCGCTCGCGTCGGCACAGCGGCCTAAGGCCGCCGCTCCGACCGCGCTCCCCGTAGTGGGAGGCCGCGTCTCCTACGCGGCGGCGGCGTCTGCCCCGACTCCATCGGCTCCCCAAAAGCCGAGGAGGGGGGCCAAGGCACCGGCCCAGGCGCCGGCCAAGGCACCGTCCCAGGCGCCGGCCAAGGCGCAGGCCAAAGTGCCGGCCAAGACCAACGGCCTCTGCAAAGAGGCCGCGGAAGCTGCAGCCGCCCAAAACCGCGGCTGTAGTGGTGACCGTGTCCCCGGAGGCGGCTGACGGCGGGTTGTCCTACGCGGCCGTTTTTAAAAAGGCCCGGGACAGCCTCGCCAACGACTTTGGGACGGTGGGGGTCAAGATGCGCCTCGCCCAAACGGGAGCTCGAGTTCTCGAGTTCCCAGGGGCTGAAGGCGCCAAGACGGCGGACACTTTCGCTTAGAGGCTGCGGGGTTTATTCGCGACCACAGATGGTGTCAAGATCGCCAGGCCTACCAAGTGCGCGGAGCTGCGCATCTCGGGCCTGGACGACTCTGTGACGGCCGAAGATGTCCGCGCTGTAATCCGGGAGGAGACAGGGTGCAGCGCGGACAACGTCAGGGTCGGCACCATCCGCCCCGGTCCAGGGGGGCTTGGCGCCGTGTGGGTCAGCTGTCCCGTAGCGTCGGCCAAAGTATTGGCCGACGCCGGCAGGCTGCTCATCGGTTTCGTGAGCGCTAGGATCACAGTCCTGGCGGCGAGACCGATGAGGTGTTACAAATGCCTAGCATCGGGGCACACGCGCGTCAAGTGCCAAAGCTGCTTCGACTGCAGCGGACTATGTTTCCGCTGTGGTCGACCGGGGCATGTGGCGGTGGAATGCTCTGCCGCCCCTCACTGCCCGGTGTGTGCGGCGGGTAACAAGCCCGCCAATCACCAGATGGGGCAGGGGGACTGCAAGCCTCCCCGCAACTCTCAGCAAGCATCGGGGGCTAGCCAGTCGACCCAGGCTGCTTCCGATGTAGTTCGTGCGTCGACGTCGTCGCCCATGGAGGAGGCTGTAGAGACGATCCAGTAATGGATCGGGTCTCCAGCCTCCTGGTCCAGACGAACCTGAACCACTGCGCCGCGGCGCAGGATCTCTTCCTGCAAACCATGGCACAGTGGTCGATAGGTGTTGCCGTAGTCGCGGAGCCCTATTCTGTCCCTCCCCGTCCAAACTGGATGGGTGACTGGGACGACTCCGTGGCAGTCGTCGGTTCCACGTGGAGGCTGTCCAGTCGGTCATCGCCGAGTGGGCAGGGCGGCAGCACGGGACCCTTTCCTTCCGGCTGACGCAGGTGCTTTCCGGGCACGGTTGCTTCGGAAAGTACCTGCACTCGGTCGCTAGGAGGGAACTAAGTCCCGCCTGCCACCACTGCGACTGCAGTGAGGACTCGGCCCAGCACACGCTGGCGGTCTGCCCCGCATGGGCGGCGCAGCGCCGGGCCCTCACTGCAGTCATCGGAGTGGATCTCTCGCTACCGGCCGTAGTACGCTCCATGGCCGGTAGCGGCAGTTGTTTTACCGCGGTCGCAACCTTCTGCGAGGTAGTAATCTCGCGGAAGGAGGCGGCGGAGAGGGCCCGGGAGGACGACCTCCACTCGGACCCGATCCGCCGCCGGCGAACCGGGCGGCGGAGGCCCGCCTATCACAGCCTCATGCCGCCCTGAGTGTGGCCGCGGGTGGACGGGGTGGGTTTCCCCTCCACCCGCATTAGTTTGGCCAGCCGCGAGGGGGCGGCTTCCGCGTGTGCCGGACGTCGCCTAAAGAGAGGAACAACATTGAGACGGAGCCCGCACCAGGAGCGGGCTGGCGCTAGGAGGGGTCCGGATGTCTTAACAACAGCTGTTCCCGGATCCCTCCTGTTACAGGCGCAGAGTGGCACACCGTGTGGTTTTAGTCGGTCCGAGTCCGACACACCACCCCGCCGCAAACCCCGGAGGGGTGACGGTCCGAGGGGATTTCCACACGTTAAAAAAAAAAAAAAAAAAAAAGGGTTTGTGGCAAGTTTTCCTTCTTTTTGCAGTGCTGGTGTCCTGCGTTGTTTTGCGCAGAAAAGAAAATTTTAAAATTTTCAAAAAAGATCTTTTTTTTTGTTTTGTTTTGTTGATGTGAAGTCACATATGCTTCAGCACACGCTTCTAAGTACGTAGCATAAGGTACTACCGTTTTTTAGTTATAGGTATTAATCCTGTAGATCCTGATCAAGATAAACGCCCTAATTTATTAAGTTATTGTATTGTCACCGGTCTTTGATAAGTGTGCGTAGTTTCAATGTGATTAGACGATTTGAAGTGGGTCAAAATCACGTTCGAAAATTCCATTACATACTCGTATGTATATACATACCTAGCTAATAAAAGGGTGTTAAAACAGCGTTGCAGTAGTCGTTTATGATGTGTAACATCTAAAATCTTTTCTTCACAAGCTAGTTAACGGTAATATCAATTGTCCTAATCTGCTACAAAAACTTAACATCACTATCACCCATAAACTTCCACGACTGTCTATGTCTAGAAACTCCTTGTTCATACCTAAGCGATCCAAAACTAACCTTGGCTTTTTCTCTCCTTTAAATGGGCTCCAGCCAGAATATAATTCTATTAGTAAAAATAAGAATATCGATGTGTTTAGATTAAGTTTACCTTCTTTTAATAAGAAACTATTACTCGTATTATTAAGCTGAGATATATTTTATGTATAAGGACTTTTTTTGTTTTATGTTGTAGGTTTTTAAGTAGTTGTTCTGTAAGAAAATGACTACTTAAGTCTTTTTTTTTAAGTTAGGCGAAGCCTTACGCTCCCAACTCTCTTTTATTAATATGCTTTCCGTCGCAACCTGTAATTAAGGCAGCACTAATGCTTCTATATCACTGCTATTGTATCTCTTGCTTTTAAGGTGTATGTTCTTGTTGGTTGTCCAAATAAATAAAATAAAATATAAACATCACACCTACCATCTGACGGCCAACTCTAGCACCGCGCACGCTTATTCGGTTACTTGTTACATACTTCCGTCCCTTTTCACAAAGTTACCAACAAGGATTTCAAGAAAACGGGTGAAAAGATGATACACAACGAAAATAATATTTCTTAGCAGATATGTATATAGCTTACAACAATTTGTAGCTCTGTTTAATTGAAGACAAAACTATTTAAGACAAGTTCAGGTTTTTGTGGATTGCCAGAATACGTAATATTATTTTCCTGCAGAGTAGTTCAGCTTATTAATATTACAGTTGTTTATTTCACATAATAAATGAACATGCAACTTAGCAAAGTATGTATACCTTATAAACATTTGAGGCGAAGTATTGAATTATTTACGATTTGCTTACAAAAGACCCTTAGGGATTGTTTAAAATTCTTTTTACTTAAAGTACTCTCAATAGCACCGAATAAATGTAAATTAGGTATATCGCAAAACATTGAATATTAATTTTCCGAAAACTTCTACCAGGTTCTTTTGTTTTTGACAGAATATGTTTCTGCTCCTAGTAAAGCCTGGTATGGCCATAGAAGGCCTTAGAACTAACGGCATATTGTAAAATGTTTGCTTGGAAAGTGGTTATCAGAAAGTGGTTATATAACATTGAACCTAGATTTTTTTTCTGACGATACTCACGGCTATCCGAGGAGTCTTTAAATAGTAAAGACTCCTCGGATATCTTATCTGTTTGTCTCCCTAACTGTTGAATTCTGCGTTTTTCCTTTCATGTCATCACTGAAAATCGAAACTAATTGGCATTACCACATTTAACTCAACATTATTTACGCAAGATTGAAAAAGATTAATTAAAAACTGACACTGAGATGACCAAAAATATAATTAAATGGACTAGATGATTCCTAACATAAACTATTATTTGACCATAGGTAAAGGCCATCGCAATCCCAATATAAGAAGTAATGGGTTATGTTGGTATGGACATGTCGTGCGGAGGGATGAGGAAAATGTGGCCAAAAAAGTATAGTTGAAGGGTACAAGAGAAGACGAAGGCCAAAAAAGGTGGATGGACTGTTTGAGAGAGGATATGACTAGGAAGGGTAAACAGTAAGATGACGAATTATAGAGTGGAATGGAAGAATCATACATACTGCGCCGACCCCAAATAAAATTGGGATAATTCTAGGCAGATGATGAGGTAAAGGGGATGACTTTGTATTTGTGGACTCTCCCATGATGCAAGGCATAAATTAAAGCGAGAAATGTTTTTTTAAGTTAAGAATTATTCTGAATAGTAAATTGGAATTGCACAACTAAATAGAGTTTGAAATATTGTTATACACATATTATTTAAGATCCCAAGTATCTTATTTTTTTGTCCAAGGTCTGTCAATACATTTTTTGAACAGCCGAAAAATAATCCTGTAAGACTATAGACAATCGGTTAAAGAACAAATTGGCACAAAATATAATAAAATTCAATTTAGTATACGTGCCAGCCAGTACGTGTATCTCCCGACAGACGTGTTTTCTCCTCAGATGATACCTGATTATTGTATTATATCAAATTGTAGATATTTTTCGAAATATCCTTCTTGGTATCCGATCTTAACCCACATACTGGTAACATTAAAAAAAAGTAATGGAAATAATAAATGCACTATACTTACAGGTTGTTCCTCCATCACATGCTGCAGCAAGGTCCTGAACAAAGTAGAAGGGAGACTGCCAAGGGCATGCAGCGCTGCCAAAGCCCACAATGGGCAGTCACCATCCGAGCAGAACTTAAATTTCTGTTAAATAATAAAAATGTATTTAAAAAAAAATCCGGACAAGTGCGAGTCTGGCCCATCAAGCGTTCCGTACATATTTGAAGGTAAACTTTACAGTTATTCCGAGCTTTGCCCCAAATTTAGTTTCCAAAACCTATAATTACGTATTTTCTTGAGTTTTAAAAAAAACATTGTATTTCGATAATTGATTACGTACTTTATTACACCATATTTTTTATGATCTATTTACAAATATATAGTTTTTTTTGCAATTTTCTTCAATTATCTGCGTCCTACGTAATACATACAGATCGACACATCAGTTTAATATGTAATAACGTCCCACTATACAAAACAATGAAGTATGGTGTTCTATAACCTTTACAGTGACATTGAATTACTCACCATGGCTTGTAATTTATTCAAACTGCGATATCTGAAACAAAATAGTATTTGGAGTTATAAAATTAACATTTAAATCACTTTGTACCCTGACTTGGGTTACAGTTATATTATGAAGTATGGACAATTTAATTTTACATGTGTTTTAATGGTATTTGTATTGTTGAAGTAATTTCTGTAGATGTGTCATGTAGAAATAAGAGTCTTCTGTTGCGTAAGGATATGTTTTAGAGCTGTCCGCATCGTCACTATACGACGACTGGATGGCGAAGTGGTTTGTGTAACGGACTGCTATTCCAAAGATCGCGGGTTCAATCCCCGCTTAAGTCATACATTTTTGTGCATGAACATTAAATGTTTGATTTGGTCTGGGTGTTTCTATGTATGATATGTGCTTAGTTGCTGCCGCTTAGTTTGGGACTAGATGGCGTTATGTGAATGTGATAAAAAATATATTATTATTATAACATATTCTTTACTATCTATTGCCCGCGGCTCCACCCACTAATATGGACGATATAAATAATTTTTTTAGCCTATAGCACTTAAGGATAATGCAGCTATATTTTAGTGAAAGAATTTCCTGAATCAGCTCAGTAGTCTCAAAGAGTACTAATTTGTTTTTATGTAGGGGACATACAAAACAATTTTACCTCTATAAAATTAATATAGATTTGAAATCTTCAAAATTTTGATACTGGACTATTATTAGTAATTAATCGAAATTTGTTTAAGTGACTGTTGTTAAAGGTTTGATATTTGGTCATTTTTATATCTAGAGTAGAAATGATAGGCTTTTTTTTGAATAAAAATAAAGCAAAATCGTTGGTTCTTAAAACAATATCTTAAATAATCTAAATTAACCAGAACCAAAATTATGAAAGACTAAGTTCTGCTGAGTTGCAGACGTTCATGGGCGGCGATAGTCACTTTCCATCAGGTGACCCGTCTGCTCGTCTGCCCCCTATAACATAAAAAAATAATATACGTATATCTATATTCGTATCTGGTCTGCTCACTATTAAACACAATGTATATTAGTTAGGCAATTTTTAACACTTACTTTAAATTTTGTGCCCAAATTTTATGTCATTTTTACCCTGCTTCTAGTTATATTATCGGAATTATTAATATTTTGTATGTAAAGCAAGTTCTTAAATTTAGCATCTTCGAGCATCTTGAAATTGACATGATTCGTTGTGTAGTAAAACAGATTCGGCTTAATAATGAATATTTTTTTAAATCGTAAAGTGACTAGGACAGTTCGTGTTTCCGTAGTAAGTTCATAATAGTTTCTTAAAATACCTTTTACAGAAATAATACTTTGTTTTCTGTAACATAAAGAACAATATGCCGTGACATTAGGAAGTAGAAAAGGCGAACTAACTCCGGACAGACAGTCGAGAACAGTGTAATGGAAACTTTCACGGAGTTATAACATTGGCATTATAGCCTTCATTCAAGTGAACACAATGAGCCTGTGTTGACTGCCATGCATATTAATACAAGCGATCTATCGACAGCCATAGTGTAATATCACTTATTGTGGTATACTATATGGAGATTATGAAGTCGTAACTAAACAACTCTAAAAAAAGATACCGCTTGTTTGAATATTTTGATTACTTTAAAGTATTTTTTTATAACAAACGGGGCAAATGAATGGAAAAGGGAGCAAGAATGCTAGGGTAAAATGTACACACCAGGGACTTCCTTTCTAGGGTATACCTGGTTCCCCGGCTATTAGTACCCGAGACGGCGTGCGGTTTTAGTCGGTTCGAGTCCGACATGCCACCGATAGGTGGTATCCGAGGGGATTTCCGCAAGGAAAAAAAAGGGTAAAAGTTACAACAATGCTTAGTTGTAAAACCTGACTGCCTGAAAAAGTCGAGGTTGGATGAAGTTAAGCCGTCGCTCCCGGTTACCATAGGAACCGACTGCACGGATGGCGTAGTGGTTTAAGCGGTCGCCACGCCGCTTCCTACTACGCCGAGTGTTGTGGGTTCAAACCCCACATGGGACGACACTTTGTGTGATCCACAAATTGTTGTTCTGAGTCTGGGTGTTCTTTGTGTCCGTTTCATGTATGTTTTAAAGTCCCCCGCGACACAGGATTTATTCCTAATGCGGGAGTTGTCTTTTTAAAAGAAAAAAATAAAATAAAAAAAAAATGAACATCTGTAAAAAAACATCTGTCGGAGCTCAAAAAAGTCCAATAATAGTCTTCTACAGAACTTCGATATCGCCTAGAACTTGGGTTGTGGAGGTCTAATGGCACTGCTCCGTGTAAAAATCGAAGTTCAGCCGTGTCGTATTTGACTGAAAGTTGACTGTCCGTTGTAGGCTGAAGGCTCGGAGGAAAAAAAATAGGAAACCTTCACCATTAATATTATGTTAACACAAATGGTGGTCCGTGTGGTGACGGATTAAGAATAGAGAGTGTCACCACCCCTATTCATCCTGTAGGTGTCGTAAGAGCCGACTAAGGGAAAAAACTACGCAGAACAACAGCACTGCAGAGAGAAGGAAAACTTAACACAAACCCTATACCAACCCGTCTGGCCAGCGTGGTAAAGCAGGCCAAAACCTCCTTCCTAAGGAGAGGCTTATGTCCAGCAGTGGACTATTAAAGGTTGTTGATGTGATGTGTGGTGATGATGTGAAATATAAGCGTTTTAATACACCTCTGTCTATTCCTTTCGAGTATAAAAGACGTAATTGTATACAAAAATAATAATCACACGGATATATTTGCCACGCTCATATTTACCGCTTGTAATTTTAGTCCCACTTATGTAATAGGCGACTAGCCTTTTTCCGTCAACGACAGACTACTTAAACGAAACCTGCAACTGAAAAGATACAAATGCGTTGCCGCACTATTTTGAATCCCTTCAAAAAATGTCATCAAATAAACCGCGATCGCTGCCAGGTTTGTTTGAAGTCGGTTCAACTTTTATTTCAAAACGATTTATTATCATTGTGTTTAGAAAGGTTATAATGTTATAAAAAAAAAATAATTACAGTGAAATTAATCATTTTATAAGACTTGTAATTCCTATTGTGTAATTTTTAAACTACGCCTCTGCATTGCTACGTAGGTGCTACGGGCGTAGCTCTACCCGCTAAGAAGCGGGCACTCAAGAATTAAGTCTTTCTGGCAAGTGGGTGTGAATATATATTATATTTGCTATTTCATTTCAACCTACGTAGTTTATCGATTTGAGAATGAGACGCATATATTATTACAACACCTGAAGCAATAGTCGTTTTCGTATAGGTTTTAATTTTTAGGTAAATAAAGATAGTCTGATATCTAGTATATTATTTATTTCTTCTAAAAATGGACAAGACATCTAAGTGAAAAAGATATAGAAAAGTAATTGAATTGAGGAGTGGACCATGTGGGATGGTTGTTTGATAAAAAAAACGAATTAGTCGACAAAGGTCTCATCGCTAGAGGCAAGATACACTTAGAAAAACTAAAATTGAAAAATTCTCATTTTTTATTTAGGATAGGTTTTATTATTTCTATTTTAGTTTGCTCGTCTTACGTTTTACTATCCCTGTGCAGAACCTGTGCTATGGTAACCAGACTGCTGATAAACATGCAAATCTATTACAAAATACATATATATTTTACACCCAAGCACAGAACAAATCATCGTGCTCATCGCACAATTTGTGCGGTTGGTTGGGAATCGAACCCATGAACTGAGACTTGGCAGTCGGAGTCACTAACCACTGGACCAACAGGCTAGTCAAATAACAGTCAAAAGTTAACCATACAATAAGTAGAACAACACACAGTTTAAAAAAAACACAACTGCATAAGGAAAATATCCTGTGTCGCGGGGGACTTTACAAACATACATGAAACGGACATAAAGAACACCAATACTCAGAACAATAATTTGTGGATCACACGAAGTGTTGTTCCATGTGGGGATCGTACCCACAACACTGAGCGTAGTAGAAAGCGGCGTGGCGACCGTTTAAAGCACTAAGCCATCGGTGCAGTTACTTCCTTTAACAATAAAATTATTAGTATTTCAGTCAATTATTATTTATTTTCTCTCTTTGTGCAGTTTGAAAAAGTTTACATTCGCAAAGAAGGTTGGTCCCTATGCTAGTGACCTTTCAATCTCACAAGATGGACATAGGGGTAGGCAATTCCGGCCTATTAGGGATAGCGCAGACCTAGAGCGCAGTGGAGAAGATTTTATATAAGACACTCGAAAATAAACTTTAAAGCAATTGCTATAAAGTGCATACATGTTTGAATATGAAAAAAGAATGCTAGTCCCCGGTCCACACACTCGAGGATTATTTATCTGGGTCTGACCGCTGACCCTTAGAGTTATTTACAATCTAAGTCAAGTTCTCGATCCGAGACTTGAGGTACCCGTGACCCTAGCCAATCGCCCCAAGTTTTATCCTACCTGATTTAACCTGTTATTTTGTTTTTTGATAATTCGCAAGAAATTCTAACGGTGCAAATCTGGTCTAAAATCCTAACATAAGAAAAAAAAAACTATCAATATCAATATACAATAGTAAATACTCTGATAAAAACCTACGACGAAGACCAGAACAAAAAACTGAATCACAGTAAGTTAATAAAAAAATAAACAACACAATTACCTTGCAAAAAAAACTACGAGTCACTCAAGCGCCCATTCAATAAAAAAAAAAACATATAAACCAATTTTTTTATGTATATAAAAAAAAATTGAGATGATGATTTAAATCTTTTAAGGCAAATAGTATTTATGGTATAAAAAATACACTTAGGTGCACACAAATCCTTAAAATATTACACACCTATTTTCAACAATCTTATAAAAATGCCAAAACTAAGAACAAAACTACATTTTCTTCTCGTTACTCGTGTCTATGCGAACAAATACATGTAGTCCTTGCCAAAGGTCCACTTTTACTTTCCACTCCTTTAGTTAATATATTGGAATGTTTTCATTCAATCAACTGTTGTATTGGCTGGTACCAGGTGCTACTTCGATCACATTCTACTAA